TGGAACCGGAAGAAGAAGTAGATACAGATGAGAAAGGACCATATATTTTACAAAGTGAGGTGGAAAAAGCTATCAAGGACATGAGGAATGGAAAGGCTACAGGAGATGATGATGTACCTGGAGATGTGCTTAAGTTACTGGGAGAAGGTGGTTTGAAAACACTGACAAAACTAATAAACACCATATATGAAACTGAAGCCATATATGAACCATATATGAAGCCTTATTGCACATACAGCAAAGATAATAAAAGAAGAATTGAAAGGAAAATTGAGGATATACTTGGAGAGGATCAGTTTGGATTTAGAAGAGGAAAAGGAACCAGGGATGCAATTGGGATGATGAGAATTATAGCAGAACGAACTTTGGAGATAGATGAAGAACTGTGTGCTTGCTTTATAGACTGGCAGAAGGCATTTGACCATGTAAATTGGACAAAATTAATGCAGATCCTAAAGGAAACAGGTATCGATTGGCATGAGAGAAGACTGATTAGTAAATTGTACATGGATCAGAAAGTTAGAGTGCGAATGGACAGAGGGGAGACAAGAAGTGTGAAGATTGGAAGAGGAGTTCAACAAGGATGCTGTTTATCACCAATTCTGTTCAACTTGTACAGCGAATGCCTTACCAAGGAAGCTCTGGATGGGCTTGGAGACTTCAAATTAGGAGGGCAAATTATTCAGACTGTGAAATATGCAGATGATCTTGTGTTAATGGCTAAGGAAGAAACTGTGCTACCACTATCCACTACATACATTTTGTCTTTTTCACTTGCATCACTCACGTGGGTTTCTGCTGCTTCAGCTAGAAAATTGACCTTACTTCTTTTATTCCTATCTTTAAAATAACAGTCCTTTTCAGCATGGTTCGTTTTCTTACATACTGCACATTGTTTTCTCATATCACTGTCCTTATTTATAAAGTAACAGTCCTTTTCAGAGTGATTATTCCTTTTATGGATAGAGCTACTTCTCTTACCTTTGTTGGGGCAGTTGACTGGGCATGACCTATTTTATTACAATTGAAACACTTGAAAGGGGTTTTACTTTTGGTTTTAGTTAATGTCTTAAAAGCTATGCTTTCCTCTTCTTTAGTTGTCATCTTGCACTTCACTTCTTCCAACATCAATCTGGCCACCAGGTTGTCAAGGGTTCTGTCCACGGTCGCTGTTGAGCCCCAGGTGGTGCTGAAGTGTTTGTAGTCTTCTGGTAGAATCGTTATTTTTGTCATTATCATGTTTCCATCAACGTTTTGGTTCAGCTGACAAAGCTTGAAGGCAATGTTCTGCATATGACTTATATTCGTCATCATATCCTTAGTTTTGTCATACTTGAAGCTGTAGAAGTCTTGTAGCAGAAGGCACTTCTGTTGAGAGGTGTCTCGCTGATAAATTTGCTTCAAGGTGTCATACATTTCTTTTGTGGTTGTGCATGTCACAATGTGGGTCTTCACGTGTTTCTCTATCGTTCTCATTATGTAATATTGGCACTTTGCATCTCGCATCTTCCATTTCTTTATATTTTCTTCGTCTTTTCCTTGTTCACTTAACAGGTCGCTGCCATCAACGAAGTTTATCAGTTCTTTTGCACGCATCAGAATCTTGATTTCAAAATCCCAGTGGAAATGAGTCAGCGTCCTTCAGTTTTGGCAGATGAGTTACCTCTTCCATCTCTGTGGTTGCCATTTTTTCATTATTCTTCTTCTGTCTACTCCTTTTCTTTACTTTTTTTAGTTTTTGAGCAAATCTGGGCCCATAACCTGTTGATTTTCTTTGTGTCGTGCTTACATATCACTTAACATCCATATTGGATGAGAAGAAACTTATTATAATACAAAACAAAAATAAGTGAATATAGATCACTATTACCAACTTGAACATTTTTACATTACTAGATTCTCAACAGAAGCAACGACGACAACAACAACAACAACAACAACAACAACAATAATTCAATTCTGTTCTTTATTCTTTGTGTGCTGACCAACAGCCGCAAAGTCAATTACAGACACAGCACAGTGTAGATAAAAGTAGTTACATACTGGACAAACACAACATAAAGTCAAAGACTAATTAAAGGTAAGCATTGGAGGAAAAACACATTAATGCATATAAGGAAATAAACAAACAAAATAATAACACCTACCACTCGG